CCGGCAATTCTGTTTTCTACATCTGAGATTCAATCTTCTGTTTGATCTGGTCTGCTTTTAATACTTTCAAGGGAGGTTTTGATTTCATGTATTACAGCCTTCATCTCTAACAGTTCTGTCTGATTCTTCTTTATGGTGTGCATTTCCTCTTTCAGATTGTGCAAGAACTTCCTCACCTCGTGGAGCTCCTTGGCTCTATTCTCCTGCCTCTTTTGGAATTCATTGTCTCTTTTCTCTTGCATCTTTGTTAACTTTGTCACTATGTATATTCTAAATTCTTTATCAGACATTTCCATTGAACTGTCTGTAGATGAAGAGTTATTTTTTCCCTTGGAAGAGATGTATTTTCTTGCTTTTCCATATCTCTTGTGACCCTGTGGTGATTTCTAATCATCTGATGGATGGTGTGTTTCTCTCTAATTCTTGGAGTTCAACCTGAGTGTTCAGGAGCATGCAGAAGGAGGTGATCTGCAATCTCTTTGCTGTTCCGTTTCTATCCCTTTGTGCAGCAGATACAGTGGGTATTGAGGAATATGTTAACCCTAATAGTATTTGGATGTTTGGCTGTGGTTCCCTTAGACCCGTCTAGACACTCAGTGAAAGGAGATTGAGGAGCAGAGTGATGAGGTAAAAGAAAAAGGGGAGAGAGAGGGAGAGAGAGAGGGAGGGAGGGAGGGAGGGGGAGAAAGAGAGAAAGAGAGAAGTAAACAAAGAAAAAATGACCAAAAATTAATTAAAAAAAAGAACACAAAAAATTAAAAACCACATAGCGCACTCACAGCAGCAGTGGAGCAGTCTTCTTCTGAAGGCCTGCCCCTGCCCATTGCCTTTCCTAGAGGGGAGGGGAAAAGGGGGCTATTAGCAAGATAAAGGAAGTTCTGAAAGCCATGAGAATATTTTACCTTAAAAAAACATTTTTTTAAGGAAAAATTACCAAAAAAATGAGAAGACAGAGAGAGGCAGAGAGACAGAGGACGAGTTTGGGGACTGGAGGCTGAATTATCAGTAGAAAATATTTATCTCTCTTTTTCCTGAAATCACTAGTTCTCAGCAGCAGTGGAAGAGTCTTCTTCTGAAGGCCTGCCCCTGCCCCTTGCTTCTCCACTCAAGTTTGGGGGCTGGAGGCTGAATTATCAGTAGAAAATCTTATTTCTCTTTTTTCCCTGAAATCACTCTAGTTTAGTTGTTTTTGTATAGATTTCTAATTAGGGCGGGTCTTATGTAGACCTGTTCCCAGATCTAGATTAGATTAGCCCTACTCCTGTGTTTCTGTTGGGGTTTCTACTGAATGTCTTGAGTATCCGCAGAATTTCTTCATCCCAGATTCTTACTATTTTTAACTCCCTAGTTTAGTTAAATCTCAACAACTATATCGTAAGTTCACTGGGAGAGTCAGTACATTTTCAGCAAATAATGATGTATAATATGATATTGTATATGTTAATTTTGTGAGAGTGATTTTAAAATTAATTTTGAATGAGTGTTGTCACATTGATGGATTACTAAGTTTTACTAGACAAAGAAAGTCCTGTGACTTATACGTATGTGTTTTGTGTTTTTTTTTTTAACCAAATGTACCTTTTTTGCTGATTAATAGTTACGCTTGCTATGGAGATTTTATTCTTTATTTCTCTTTAAGTGCTTTGGAAGTGAGTCTTTATTCTTATATCATAAAACAAATATTATCATTTGAGTTAGAGTAATATCATGTTTTTATATAAAGCTAGCATGCTTCACTACACACCCAGGTACCACCAGCTTAGCTTTTTCTTTTTTTAATAATAGAATAACTTGCTTTCTGTCTGGTGAGTCCAATATTAGATGAATGGTTGGGTGAGGTGACTTTTAAATGCCCTTAAACCTTGAGATTCTATTATTCTTCAGCAAATTAATTTTTGCAAGAATGTCTTGAGTGCCATCATAATAGTATACATTATAAAAGAAGAAAATCTGTCTTTGCCTATAAAGGAGCTCAGAAAATCATTGGTGAGACAATTCCTTTCTATAATATATACATTAGTTAAAAGCTATGTAAGATTAATTGCAGCATGAACAGCATAAACCACACATGTCTAAGATATTAAGTCAGAGAAAGAGACAATGTGACAGAAGTAGAATGAGAAAGAACACAGCTTGTCATCTTGTTTGTGGGGGGATCTCAGTAAAAGGGAGCCTCCAGAGCAGGGCAAAGGGGTACATTTTTGCTGGAGTGTCAGTAAAGAGACCAGCCTCGCAGAAGTAGGAAGCCGTTTGGCTTTGTATCTAAAACATATGGCTAAATTATGAACGATTGCGTTTTTATTTTAACGAGTGCCATCATGGTGGTAGCATTGGCTGTCTAGATTTGGAAATCTTAGGTTTGCGTAATTATGGTACCGTCAGTAATTATGTCGTCATGTTGCAGTGAAATGAAAATTTTTTCATGGGAAAGCCTGCATTTGTATCATGAGATACATCTGTTTGAGAAACAGCATAAACAGAACAGCCATCTGAGATCTGTGTTTTGGAGCTACTAGGTGTTGGAGAAATTCTTTTGAGTTATGTTGTTTAGTAGATTCTAGTCCTGTGTTTTTTTATCCTTTAAGGGTCAAGGTCACTAAAGGGAGGGTCTTGTTGGGCTGATAGTGAAATCTGGACACAGATTTCCATGCTCTTTTTTTTAGTTGTTATTTTGGTGTTAGAACAGTGATTCAAAGCACATTATTAGTTTTTGTTTAATATTGTTCAAGTAAAATAAAGTGTAACATACATATAACAGAATAAAAAGTCTAAATACATTTCTACATTATGATAAAAGCATTGTAATGTCTTCCCTTTGACTGTGACCTAAACAAGTTACAGAATATTTTGGGAATCAGCAGTTGGCATAATGGCTATGTTGCTGGACTCCCACGTAGTCGACCGCGGTTCGTGTCCTGGACCCGGTGGCTTCAAACTCACGCTGGGCGCGTGTGCGTGCGTGCCCAAGATCCCGAGAGGAGAATGGAGGAGAAGGGATTGCGGCGTGACCATCCCCCCGGGGGGTGATTTCTCGCTTTCTGTCTCTATGTCTCTCTCTGTGTGTCTGGCGAGCGCACGTGCCCTATAGCAAAAAACCTCTCAAAAAAAACCAAAAAAACACAAATTACAGAATATTTCTATGATTTTATTATTGAATATGAAATATGTATAAAAACTTATTTAAAGTATGAAAATTTTTGCTATTGAGACCAGCAGATTGGCATAATGGTTATGCCACTGGATTCTCCCATAATCCACCGTGGTTCGAATCCTGGACCCAGCAGCTTAAAACTCGCACCAGGCACATGTGCATGTGTGCCCAAAATTCCGAGAGGAGGCTGGAAGAGAAGGGGTTGCAGCATGGCCATACCCACTAAAGGATGATTTCTCACTTTCTGTCTCTCTGGCTCTTTCTGTCTCTCCAGCGAGTGCAGTGCCCTATACCAAAAACCTCTCTCAAAAAACAAACAAACAAACAAACAAACAAAAAACCCTCAGTATTTGTGTGTCATAGTTTTCAGGGTTTTTTTAGAATTATTTTTATTTAACTTTATTATTGATAGTAGTATTAGGGTATTAGTTAATTTTAGAGAAAAAGAGGGAAAGTGAGAATGCAAGCCAGCAGGTTCGGGATTCAAACTTCAGTTGGCCATGTGGGAGTCAGTGCCCTTAACCACCAGACCACCTACCAGCCCATAGTTTTCAGTTTTTAAAAGTAGAGAATTGTACTTTAATATGTACCATTTAAAAAAATATATCAAAAGCTGAAACATGACTAAGAATATTAAAAATTGTATGTATACGTTTTCATTTAAAATTGTCTAAAACATTTTTATACAATGCTTAGTAAACATGCTAAGATTTTATGCATATATATATATATTTTTTTTTTTTTTTGCACCGATTTCTTTTTGAAGCTGACCAAGAATTCATTTAAAAGAAGGCAGAGGGCCAGTAGGTGGTGTGGAAGTTAAGGCAGATGGATCCCATGTGGCTGACTTCTCAGTTCAAGTCCCAACCGCAGCGCCCTAAGAACATGGCAGGCATATGTCCGTGGGTGCCCAAAAATCTCTAGAAGAGAACGGAGGAGAAAGGATTGCTGCCTGGCCATTCCTCCTGGAGAGTGGTTTCTCTGACTCTGTCTCTTTCTGGGGAACACATGTGCCCTAGAGCAAAAACTAGAAAGAGAAAGAGAAAAAAATTCCAAGAGAAGAGAGGAGACAGATAAGTGCATCTTTACTTGAGAGAAAGTTGAATTTGAATGTGTAAAATTGATGTCATAATATAGAACAGTTTTAAAATTTTAAAGCAATTTAAAATGTAGACAATTCTTGATCATCTTCAGTACCACATTAAGTCATTTATAATATCTGAAGCATAGAGAAACTTAAAAAAGAACTTTGGATATTATTTTTCTGCTTACTTTCTAGTCAGCTCATTATGATCATTTTAAGACCATTTTTATAACTAATGTATTTTCCCTGGGTCTCCTGAAGACCATCATAAGAACCAGCTACATGTACATGAGATGATGAGATCATTTTTATTGGAGGAAAATATGATAGCAAAGAATCTACCTCTTTTCAATGAGGTAGGATTTGGTCTGCAAGACATACACTGTATAATATATGCTTTATTAGGAAAAAAAAATTTTTAAGAGAGTTTTGCTGTAGGGTGCATGCTTTCACCCGAGAGACAGAAAGGGACAAAAAGCAAGAAATCACACCCCAGGGTGGATGGCCATTCCACAGTCCCTTCTCTATTCTCCTCTTGGGATCTTGGACATGGACATAAACGTGCCCTGCATCAGTTTTAAGCCAACAGGTCCAGGACTCAAACCATGGCCAAACTATGTGGGAGTCCAGTGACGTAACCATTATACCATCTGCTGGTCCTAGAACAAAAAATTTTAATGAATCTCCAAAGCTGTTGATGCTGTAAAAACAGCACATGTACTTCTGTGATTGTTTTAGTGTTGTTTTTTTGTTCATCTTTTGCAGATAAAATAACACAAGAAGATATTGAAAACATTCTTCAGAAATTTACTGGGAATATAATGCAAGTACCCCCTCTGTAAGTTCAACTATTGAATTCAAGTAAACATTTAATTTTATTTTCCAGTGATTGACATCAATGTAAGTAAAATAAATGGGCCTCTTTTTACTTTATGGTGAAGTAAGTTTTATATCTGACATAGCAAATAATCAAGTAAAGGTAAACTAGATTTTTGGGACCAGCAGGTGGTGTAATTATTACATCCAGCAATGTAATAATTTGAGTTCCAGACTCGGTGACTTGAAACATGCTAGGCTCATGTGCATGTGTGCCCAGAATCCCAAGAGCAGGGAGGAGAACGTATTGTGACATGGTCATCCTTCTGGGGGTTGATTTCTTGCTCTCTGTCTCTCCGTTTCTCCCTGTGACTGGCAATGCTCTCTGTCTCTCCGTTTCTCCCTGTGACTCGCAAGCACCCTATGGCAAACAAACAAACAAGCAAAAAAAACAACCAACAAACACAAACAAAATGGTAAGCCAGAGTTTAAATAGTATGTGGAGTTTCTGACTCTAAAAGGCAGTGGTGGAATGTGGTCTCCTCTGTCCTTGGGTGTTGCCGCAGCTGTCATCTGTGCTATTTGTCATTTACCAGCTTTTCTGATTCTGTCTACAGGCATCAGGGAAGTTCTGGAGCCTAGAAATGTCTCTTTTCCTAGAATTGCCAGGCAGGGACCAGTCTAGCCTCATGAAGGCGTCAAAGGTCAATTCAGAACCCTGCACTTGGGCACTGCCTGCTAAGTGTTGGCCCAGAATCTTTTGCCACTGTTCTCTGCACCAAATGAGAAAGATGAGGTTTTTAACATATAAAAATGTAGGTATACCGCTTTACGCCTTGTATTAGTTTGTTTAGGCTGCTATAACAAAATACCTAAACCAGGTCACTTATACAGAAGTTTATTTCTCACAGTTATAAAGGCTGGGAAGTCCAATATTAAGGTGCCGTTGGATTCTCTGTCTGGCGAGGGCCCAGTTTCTCATTGATGATGACTTCTCACTCTGTCTTCAGGTGGAGAAAGGGACAAGGCAGCTGCCATGAAATCTTTTACAGGGCACTAACCCTTTTTATGAAGTCTCTGCTCTATTAACTAACACTTCCACCAAATTTCATTTTCTAAAACCACTACCTTCAAGGTTAGGATTTCAACATATTAATTTTTTTTTGGAGAGGTTTTTGCTATAGGGCGCGTGCGCTCGCCAGACAGACAGAGAGAGACAGAGAGACAGAAAGCAAGAAATCACCCACCAGGGGGGATGGCCACACCACAGTCTCTTCTCTTCCATTCTCCTCCTGGGATCTTGGGCACGCACGCACACGCGCCCGGCGTGAGTTTAAGCCACCGGGTCTGGGACTCGAACCGCAGGCGACTACGTGGGAGTCCAGCAACATAGCCATTCCGCTAACTGCTGTTCCTTCAACATATTAATTTTGGGAGGAGGTACAAGCATTCAGACCATATTCACCATTTGACCATATTTTTATGCATATTACTATTTTAAGGAATTTACTTCTTTTTAAAAAACGGCCAAATGTTTATAGGATATGTCCATATAAGTTACTAATATTTCTTTTAAAATTTAGTATTTATCTAATGTTTTAAAATCTTAGTTTTTTTTTTGGGGGGGGCAGTAGATGGCATAATGGCTACGTTGCTGGACTACCATGTAGTTGATCGAGGTTTGAACTCACTCCCGGGCCTGGCAACATAAACTCACGCCGGGTGCATGTGTGTGTGTGCCCAAGATCCCGAGAGGTGAAGGGAGAAGAAGAGATTGCAGCGTGGCCATCCCCCCGGGGGGGTGTTTTCTAGCTTTCTGTCGTTTTGTCTGTCTCTGTCTTTCTGGCACTCGCTCTATAGCAAAGACCTCTCCAAAAAATAAATAAATAAATAAAATTAAAATTAAGTAAAATAATTAAAATCTTAGTTTTTGCAACTTAAATATTGATAGGGAACTGTTTTTCGTGATTATCTCTCAAATGTAAAGATTTAAAAGTTTTGGCAAGGCCTGAGTAAATATCCTTTTGTATCATTGTTAAAGTAAATTAATTAATTTTTATTTGTAAGAACCATTTATAATTTTCTTTACTATAATAATTCCAAAGATAATTTGTTTATCGATGAATAAAATTTTGTCACACACTGGGCCAGGTAGGTGGCATGGTGGTTAAGGCAGCTGGTTCTCACACAATCGACTGCCTGGTTCCTGTCCTAGCTCCAGCAGCTTGAAAAACATGCCAGGCACTTGTGCATGTGTGTCCCAAATCCCAAGAAGAGAATGGAGGAGAAGGGATTGTGGTGTGATCATCCCTCCTAAGGGGTACCTTACTCACTTTCTCTCTCTTTCTCTTTGGTGAGTGCATGTACCCTACAGAAAAATTTTAAAATGTTTTTTTGCCACACAAAACTAAGATCTGGTGAGTAGATTATTTGCGTAATAATGAGTATTATTATAATAGAAACTGTTTCAAAGAAATACAGTTGAAATCATTATAGCCAGAGACTACTTACTAAAATTGTCACCTCAACACAGAATGAGGACAAGTAAAGAGAAGGCACTGACAGACCATCTCCAGGAAATGGTTAAAGAATAAAAATAACAACACTGCTTATTGAGTCCCAGGATAAGCTTCTGTTCTTCTCAGAGGTATTTAGGAGCTCTATCCTCGACAGCATTGTGGAACAGACTGAAAGAAAAGTTAGTTCGTTTTCTCTGGAGTATTTTCAGTGTAAAAGGCTGCGAGTCATCTTTCTTTTACTTGCCATACTCTGGAATTATTATCAATCTCTCTGAATTCTTCCTCTCTTTTTTCTTATCTTGGTAGCTATTCTGCATTAAAGAAAGATGGACAGAGACTTTCAACTTTGGTGAAAAGAGGTGAAGTAGTAGAAGCAAAACCTGCCAGGCCTGTTACCGTATATAGTATTTCTCTTGAAAAATTTGAGCCACCGTTTTTCACATTGGGTAAGATGGAGAAACTTTAAATCACTTGTACTTATATATAACTTTACCTTATATTTAGCTATTTCTGTGTGATTTTTTTTTAATGGATCCTTAAGGTATTGGAGATGGTTTTTGTTTTTGTTTTTAAATTTGACGAGGGTGAGGATTTGGCAACACATTTAATGAGATATTATATGACTAAGTTGAGTTTTTATATCTTATATTTTGTTATTTTACTATAATGTTGGAAGTAACATACCTTGGATTTCTGTGGAGAAAAATAGGTAAGAAGTATGTATTTTCAAAATTTTATTATCTTACAGATGCCTTTCCTTCCTCTTTGGCTAGTATCTAATAGATTCAGTTTTAGAATTGACATTAGCTTACACTTTTAAAACAGAGTATTTTTAATTTTCACCAAAGAAAATCTACGAGTAAATTGATTTTTTGTCCCTTTTCATTATCACAAGTTACTACTAAAACCCCGAATATATTGTTAAGACAGAAATGCATTCTTGGACGTGTGGTCACACATTGTTTTCCTTTTATGAAGAGAGAAGGAGAGAGAGAGAGAGAGAGAGACATTTTTGGTGGGATCTCATCCTGTCATGGTCCTCTTCCCCAGCTCCCAATTAGCTATGATAGCAGGCATGCACAGCTGCACTGGTGTGTTCAGCTCAGCCTGGGAACTGAACCCAGGCCTTCTGTGTGGCTTCAAGTCTTCCATGTGCCTTCCAGCCTCCCAAGTGGTGAAGCTGTCTATGTACCACCATGACCGGGCCGTGTGGTCACATTTTAATTCAGGTTATCAATTTAAAACAAATTTAAAATCAAGAAGTTAATTTTATTGCTTAGAAAATTTATTATCTTAGTTGCTGGAAGAGGTTTTAACTGAAGGACCTGAGAGTAGTACATCAGTAAAACTTGATGCTCTGCAAGACTGACCCACATGGGAGCATTCCTGATTCACGTCCCAGACACCTCCCAGAATGTGCCAGGCTCATGCATGCCCATGATCCAGCTAAGGCTGGAGGTGGGTTGCATGTTGGGGATGCTGTCTTTGGCTGTCTCTCATGGAAGAGAAAAATAAATAGGTAAATAAATAAACTTGCTTCTGAAGCTGTAATCATGTAAGAGTTTTAAAGAATCGAACACTGTGGTCCTTTTTAAAATTAATTCTAAATTCCCTTAAATTGATCCCACCCTTAATTTCACAGTGCATACGGAACATTCGTACTTTCCGAAATAATTTCCTGGGACCAGCAGATGGCATAATGGACATCGTTGGACTCCTACATAGCTGACCACAGTTTGAGTCCCAGACCTTCGAAGCTTGAAACTTGTGCCAGGCATGTGTGCATGTGTGCCCAAAATCCCAAGAGGAGAATGGAGGAGAAGGGATTGTGGCATGGCTGTCTCTCCTGGGGAGTGACTTCTTGCTTTCTGTCTCTCTAGAGAGTACATGTACCCTATAGCAAAAATCTCTCTTACAAAAAGGGGGAGGATAATTTCCCAAAACTTCTTTTTTTAAGCTTTGTCATTTCCCCCCCCTCAGGCATTATTATTTATCGATAGTATATATTAAGTTCCTGTAGAAAATGGTTTTGTATAATTATAAATGAAAAGTCACTCCTTTTATAAAATTTCCTCGTTCAAAAATGACAGATGATGAAAAAAGCACACCAAAAAATATTTTGCTCCATTTCATGAAAATGTAACAGCTGGTTTGGCAGAGTAGATATTATCTATGAAAGTAAGAGAAACAAAGTTTTTTTTATTGCATTTAAGTCATAAATTCTCTTATTTTGTTGACTAGAGAGTGTAAAAGGCCAAAAGAAACATCTTTCACCAAAGTCAAATATAGTGCAAGAAATTTAGCACACTTACCTTTGAGGGCAATGCTCATTTTTATTTCAGAGTGGCCCCCAACTATGAACTGATAGAAAAAAGAAAAGAATAAAAACCCCAAGTAGTGACTTTTTTTTTTTTAATTGCATGAAGTTATGTGTGCTTGCCAGAGACAGAGAAAAAGATCGAGAAGAGAGGAAGCACACCTTAAAGTGACATGGTCACACCTCAATCCTTTCTCTTCCATTTGCCATCCTTTGGAGATTTGGGGCAAACACAAGTGCCAACATATTTTTCAAGACAGGTGCTGGGATTCAAACCAAAGGTTGACCACATGGGTCCAGCTCCTTTAACCATTAGGCTACAGGCTGGCTCACAGGGTGAATTTTGATTGATTCCCCCAAATGACTTTATTCATATAACTAGAAAAAGCTAGAATGTAGTCCTTTTGTGTGGAACTGTGGCAGCTTTTTTTATTATGTCTTGCCAATGTATAAAAATAATGCAGAGCCCAACTCTCAGCCTATAAACTTGCTATTCTGTGTTAAGAAGATGTTTAGATATACATGCAGTTCTGGGGCATGGTGTTCTTTTAACTTCTATCCTGATTTTTTCAAGAATATTTCCAAGAGAATGTTTAAATATTCTGTGTTCTGTATAGTATGATTCCCCAAATAGAATTTTTATCACTGTGAAAAGGGACTTTTTTTCCTTTTTGGTTGATTGGTTGTATTTTTTCGAATGTACCAATTTGAAAGTATTTTTTTTAAATTTGCAGCTCATGATAGCAGAATTGAGGATTCTAACTATTTAAAACCTATGAAATGAGCAAGTTATACAAATTTGAAAATATTTTTTAAAACTCTAGTGTTATTGCTAGCAAAGCTAAGATTTCTAATTATTAAAGCCTATTAAATGAACAAGGCTGAAGTAATAAAGTGGTATGACTAGCCACTTAATTTAAAATCTGTTGGTGAGTTTCTGCTGTTTGCTTTCTCCACACTCTTGACTTTTCAATCTTACAAACACATATGCTACAGGATGAATAATTTATGTTTTGGCACATTAATATTTTATCACTCAATTGTTTGCATAGTGCATTTTTACATTTGTTTAGGGGCATCATTTCTATGTAAAGTGGATTTCATAGGAGGTTCGCCATTTACCATGTCACTGTTAACATTCCAGATGTTGAATGTGGAGGAGGTTTTTACATCAGGAGCTTGGTCAGTGACATTGGCAAAGGTAAGCATAAAACTGAATTCTGAATTATCATTTAGAGAGTAATACTCCTTTCTGAGGGGAAGAAGGAATTTTCTGTTTTCCATATTTCTGAGCACTGGCCTGAGGATCTGACCTCTCACAGCCTTCAACTCAGAAGCCATTGTAGGTTTATAGCATGTAATTATCAGCCTCAGCAGCTGCAGTGAAATGCTTGTAATGGGGAAGAAGAGAAAGAGAGGAACAGAATAATGAAGGTAAGGGCCAGAATTTTTTCAGGTACAAAACATTTTAGCCCAGAAGTAGGGGTCAGAAAAATGATGTATCCTTTTTAAAGTTACTTTCATTGATATAAATAATATTTTTAAAAAGCTGGAAGCCATAATCTTACAAACAGCCAGAAAAGTTTGTGTCTGGCTTTGCCATTTCCGGGCAGTTGAGACACTGGGTGGGTCACACTATCTCATCTGCAAAATGAGGGTAACACTGACCTCATGGAGTCGCTTCCTGAGTTAAATAAGAGAAATACATGTTCTTGGTAGACTCGAAAGCAACTTATCAGGTGAACTACGAAATACTATTTTGCTGCTTAATCATTTCTTTATCTTAAGGCTCTTGGTTCTTATATTGGATTATTCATTTTACTTTTTGAATGATTTTAAGAAATTTGAGTTCAGTGCATTTGTCATTTGAAAAATTACAAGTACTGAATCATTTGATTTGTCTTCTGGACTTTTTTGGTTGTTTTTTTTTTTTTTTTTTTCACCTTTTGTCGCTGTAGAACTTGCTTCCTGCGCCAGCGTACTAGAGCTGACCCGAACCAAGCAGGGACCGTTTTCACTAGAACATGCCCTTCCTGAAGACAGATGGACGATTGCTGACATCGCACAGTCTCTTCAGCACTGCACAGCTCCTCTCCCACCAGAGTTGGCACTGAAAAAACAAAAACCCGAGGAGTCTAATGAACGGGTTTTGAGCTGTGACTACATAACCCTAAATGAGTCAAAGGGAGGAGGTGATGTAATTAAGACATCTTGAGATTGGCTTAGTAGTGTGGTCATTTCCTAGTCGACACTGAAGCCTGTGTGCAGATGCAGAGTGGAAAATGACATGCATGAGACAAACATCTATTGCTAACTTTTTTTTTTTTTTTTTTTTGCATGAAGGAAAATGTCCATCATTTGCGGTTTCTGTGACATACACTTTATTTGCTATATACATGATAAATGTTTAGTTTTTTGTGTACTGCAGAATGTTCTTTTAGAATGTTTTTATGTTGTTAAATATGAGTATGATTAGATTTGGGGAAATTAGCTTTCTGAATTTGATCTTCAGTCTTCTGTAAAAGCTGAACAGATTTTTTAATTGAAAAAATATACAAGCTACATGTTTCTTCATTTTCACCAAAGTGAATCTAATTTAGTGTTATTTTGACTTTATTTAGGCTTCCCTATAGTTCCCTTGTATTGAAATTCTTTAGCTGTGTTTGAAATAGCCATTATTGAAATTTCTTGTGTTTTGGAGAGTTTCTTATTATTAAAAACATATCTTTGATAAAACTGTACTCATTTAGTAATAGCTGTGTTCATTTTGGTCTTAGAATCAAATACATTTTATAATAAATATTTTAAATGGACCAAATTAGTGCTGCTACCATTAGCTGGATGTAAATAGAAAACAAATATTTAATTAAATTATCTTCTCCTCTACCATTAGGGGAGAAGATAGCGATTGTAGCTTTGGATTTTGGCACCTCTGAGATTCTTTCTTGGTAATTTCATTAACACAGTCAACCACTTTGTACCAAGTTAATAAATAACATAGTTATTTCACTTGAACTAATGAATGTGTCTTCAATTAAAAATTTCTTCTATCCATTTTTGATTAGCGTGTATATCTCCTTTTCTAAATTTTTTTAAGGGTTTTTTTTTTTTTTGAGAGGTTTTTGCTATAGGGCGCATGTGCTCACCAGACAGAGAGAGAGAGACAGAAAGTGAGAAATCATCCCCCAGGGGGGATGGCCACACCACAATCCCTTCTCCTCCATAATCCCTTCTCCTCCATTCTCCTCTCGGGATCTTGGGCACACATGCACACGTGTCCGGCATGAGTTTTAAGTCACCGGGTCCGGGACGCGAACTGCGGTTGACTACATGGGTGTCCAGCGACATAGCCATCACACTAACTGCTGGTCCCAGCATATATATCTCTTTATAGGGCATTGTTTCTTTTGTTGTTTGCTCTTCCAAGTGATATTTATAGACACTGAGATAGGTGCCCTGCATTTCCAGCTAATCTCTTTTGCTCTAAATATTTAAAAAGTTATTCTCAAGTGTTTCATCCATATAGCTTTCCGAAAGTTCCTGTCTTCTTTGCCATCATTTTGAAAATGTAGTCACATTACAGAACTGTAAACTTGGAGCCAGAAGGTGGTGTGGCAGTCAAGGTACCACAGAGCTGACTGCACTGTTTGAGTCCTGGTCCTAGTGACTTCAAAAACACACCAAGTGTGTGTGCGTGTGTGCCCCAAATCCTGAGGAGAATGGAAGAGAAAGGATTGTGGTGTGGCCATTCCTCCGGGCTGTGCTTTCTCACTCTCCCCCCAGTGTCCCCGTCTGTCTCTCTCTCTCTGGTTCTCTCCAGCAAGCACATGCTCACTATCATAAACTTTTAAAAAACAACCAAAAAAGTCCAATATATTTCACATATAACAAAGCTTCATATTTTCACTGTGGGAAAGCAATATATTATGCCTCCAATCTGTAGAAATATTCAAATCTATCTTCATTTAGTCATCATTTCAAAAGGAAAACCCATTGCAAATTTCATAAAGGAAGAGTTTTTATATATATTTTTTGGGGGTTGTCTTTTTAAAGGTGGTTGCCTACCTGCTACCTCTAATTCAGTGATTTAAGTATGGATTTTAAAGTGCATTTATTTGTGGTTAACCTAATATAAACTTAAGATAGCTAACATGCTTCAGTACAGCGTTTTCAATGTATTGGCAACCTATTTTAAATGAAAATAAAATTCTTAGTATGAGACAAAATTTAAAAGGAAAGAATATTGATATCATGATACATTAACACAAAATACCAAAAACACAGTGTTAGAAATAGGAAGTTTACAATTTTACTTTTCATATCTGGTTGCCTTCTGTCAGACAAAGGTGGCCGTGGCCCCCTCTGCCCTTTGGATTGGCACAGGTTACAGTATGTCTTCACTGGTTTCCAGTTAAAGTCTAAACACAACTGAAGTACTTCTACCCCGTTTCTCAACTTAAAAATTGACATTTATAATTTACTAATGGAGAAGAGTAGAGATTATTTGAAAAGGCAAATGACTTTTTAAAATGCCAGCCAGTCTTTTCCTTCATCTTGAAACACTGAAGAAAAATTTGTCAAATGGAAACATCACCATCAACCCCACCACCCTAATGTAGTAACTTGGGAACTTTAATTTTCATGTTACTGTTTTCCCTTTTTTCTGTTCATGTAACTACAGCGTTGATACCTTTTTCTAATTGACTTTTTAATTTGCTATTATCTATTGTATCTAGTTTTAATAGTATTTGTTTTAATCTTATTGCTTCATACTCATGATTTGTTCAAACCATTTTCCTATTGCAGAATTCTTACATTGTTCTCAATTTTACTGAGATAGGTTCCTGGTAATAATATCACTACGTGAAATAGTATAGTACGAATTACAGTTTTTGTTTGCCTTACTGCATTTCCAGACTGGTATAGCATTTTATAGTGTCACCATTTGGGTACAGTGTCACCACGATGATGTTCCTAATTTAGTAAGTATAAGAGAGCAGTTTTTCCAGTTGGCTTTCATGTGATTTGTCTGTATACTTTGTTCGTTTATGTAAGTAAATGTCTTAATGGTTTCTGTATATTTGCATGAGCTTTTTTGTGCAGTAAATATTGGATAGAAATTTTTTTCATGCCTTATTATCTTTTTTGTTTTAGTTTTATGTTTCATTTCTGCTTGCTAGTTTGCTACTGTTTTAAGAATTTGTCCCAATTTATCATTGTCAGATGTATAAATATGGAGAGTTAAATTTTAAAATGTTCTTAATTTTTTTTTTCGAGATGTTTTTGCTATAGGGTGTGTGCGCTCATCAGAAAGAGAGAGACAGAAAGCGAGAAATCACCCCCCAAGGGGGATGGCCACACCACAATCCCTTCTCCTCCATTCTCCTCTCGGGATCTGGGGCATGCAAGCACACATGCCAGGCATGAGTTTAAGCCACCGGGTCCGGGACTCAAACCATGGTTGACTACATCAGAGTCCAGCGATACAGCCATTATGCCAACTGCTGGTCCCAATATTCTTAATTTTCATAAGCATTTGAAACTAATTGGGATTCTCTGAAAAGTTCAAGACTCATCCATGAAACAAATTAGTTTTCTCTTAGGGCCAGCAGGTGGCACAGTGGTTAAAGTGCTAGACCCACATGGCCAGCTGTGGTTGGAGGTCCAGACATGCGGCTTGAATATCACGGTGCATGTGTGTGCACGTGTACCCAAAATCCCGAGAGACAATGGAAGACAAGGGATTACAGTGTGGCCATACCCCTGAGGGGTGATTTCTCACTTTCCTTTTCATTGTCTATCTGTGGTGATGATTCTACATGCCCTATTAGTTCTCTTTAGAGAGTCTGGTATCTTTGTACCAACAGGTTTTTAAATTTTCGCATATTTATCAAAATATACATATCTGTGCTTTCTGTATATCTAGACCTAAAAGTTTCATGGCATAATGAAGTTGTTTTACTTGAAAGAAACAGATAAATTTGAAATTCCTGAAAATGTTTCAGTCTGGAGCATAACAAATAATTTCATTTTGACAATTTTAGTTTTTCTTGTTTTTGAAGACTATTATTGTTTCAACTTAAAAGTTGACAAAAGTAGTCATAGAATTATTTCACTTTTGGCTTTAAATTTCATTAAGCATTAAAATAACAGAAATCTATTCACAAATTAAAAATGGTGAAATGTGAATAGACCTGACCTCACTCTAGTGACTAGATCTTTTCTTAAGTACTTGGATTAATTCAAGTTACTGAGTCATCATCAGAAGTGATTCACTGTATAAGAAAAGACTGCTTTATATCAGGTGTTCAGTACATTTTATGCCCTTCTGACCAGTTTGAAATCTGTATCAGACTTAACGATGTGCTTTAGATGGTTCCATTAAATAGCAATTGTTCTGTTTCAAAGGAAAAAAATAATGTATCTTATATCATGATTTATTAAATAGAAAAAGAAGAGTGATTCAAAAGCACTATAAAATGTTGAAACATTTGAGTAGAGGAAGATAATAGAGACAAGGTTTGTACACTAAAGTGATGAGAATGACCTTGTATTTAAATTGAAATAGAAGGATTGTCTGGAAGCTGTTTTTGAAGGTAGGTATGGTAGAGCTCTCCTTTGCCCTGTGATTCATGAAATACCATTTGTTAAGCGCTTACTACATGGTATTGAATCAGTACTGCTTTCCTTTGTCAACTTGTGAGTTAAATTCTATGAACAGGAATATTTTCAGGCTGCTATTATAATTGGTGATATCAGTAGGAAAGTTGAAATCAGAAATTATTATTTTGCTTTTCTTATCTATAACTTTTAAAATATAATTTATTGAGATTATTTATGTCTCCATCTTTAATCAGCTTTTGCTCATAGATAAGTCCTGTACTCTTTTTCTTTTTCTTTTTTCTTTTTTTTGAGAGGTTTTTGCTATAGTGTGCATACGCTTGCCAGAAAGACAGAGACAGACAGAAAGCGAGAAATCACTCCCCAGGAGGATGGTCACACCGCAATCACTTCTCCTCCATTCTCCTCTCAGGATCTTGGGCATGCACACACACTTGCCCGGCATAAGTTTAAGCCAGTGGGTCCAGGGCTCAAACTGCAGTCAACTACATGAGAGTCCAGCAACAGGAAAAAAATAATGTATCTTATATCATGATTTATTAAATAGAAAAAGAAGAGTGATTCAAAAGCACTATAAAATGTTGAAACATTTGAGTAGAGGAAGATAATAGAGACAAGGTTTGTACACTAAAGTGATGAGAATGACCTTGTATTTAAATTGAAATAGAAGGATTGTCTGGAAGCTGTTTTTGAAGGTAGGTATGGTAGAGCTCTCCTTTGCCCTGTGATTCATGAAATACCATTTGTTAAGCGCTTACTACATGGTATTGAATCAGTACTGCTTTCCTTTGTCAACTTGTGAGTTAAATTCTATGAACAGGAATATTTTCAGGCTGCTATTATAATTGGTGATATCAGTAGGAAAGTTGAAATCAGAAATTATTATTTTGCTTTTCTTATCTATAACTTTTAAAATATAATTTATTGAGATTATTTATGTCTCCATCTTTAATCAGCTTTTGCTCATAGATAAGTCCTGTACTCTTTTTCTTTTTCTTTTTTCTTTTTTTTGAGAGGTTTTTGCTATAGTGTGCATACGCTTGCCAGAAAGACAGAGACAGACAGAAAGCGAGAAATCACTCCCCAGGAGGATGGTCACACCGCAATCACTTCTCCTCCATTCTCCTCTCAGGATCTTGGGCATGCACACACACTTGCCCGGCATAAGTTTAAGCCAGTGGGTCCAGGGCTCAAACTGCAGTCAACTACATGAGAGTCCAGCAACGTGGCCATTACAC